GGCGCACGCACCCTCGGGGCGGCGTCCGGCGGGGAAACCGGACCCGCCCCGCTTCCCCCGGGCCGCGGCGCGTTCTGATCCCGGCGAGGCAGTGCGGAGCCGTATCCACCGCCCGCGTCTCAGTCGCGCCCGGCCAGGCCGCTCGGGACAAGGAGACGCGCTCACCATGTCAGGGGCGGCTCCGCGGCCGCCATGTTGGCAGAGCCCACACAGCAGCGGTTTGGCGGTTCCCGTCTCGCGGCCGCACGAGCCCGCCTCAGGGCACCGGCCTATCAGCGATCGGCGCGCGGGTCAGGTGCTCTGAACCAGCCAATGGGAACGCGGGCTCGAGCTGCGCCTCAGGGTGTGGCCGCCATTTTGCGGCGGGCGTGGCGGATGATGGCGCGGAGCCGCGCTGCGCAAGGAGATCAGCTCAGCCTTCACGGGCGGGGCCGAGGCGGGGCTTGGGCCACGCGGCACATCCCTCACTTCCCCGCGTGTTCAGAGGTGGGACCTTGGATCGGGGGTGGGTGTCCCGGGCGGCTCCTCCCGCTCCGGGTGTGAGGTGGTGGGACTTGGGCAGGGTGGGCGCCCCGGTCGACTCGTCCCGCCCTGGGTRTGCAGAGGTGGGGGGCGGTTTGTCACTGAGGGGTTGGAGTCGCGTGTAAGCACTGAGGTGCCCACAGAAGCTACTACGTTTACCAGCTTCCTTGCTGTCCTGGGCGTTCAATTTCCCTGCCTCACTTATGAGCAGAGCGGCAAAAGTATTTTTACTGATGGGGAGGCTTTCCAATGTGGTAAAATGTGGAATTCGGGTATTCTCAGAACCCATAGGTCTGKGTGATGGAAATTCATTTGCTTGTGGTGTTACTAGAAAAGGTGATGCTGRTCACTGCTCTAGAGACGGGGAAATGACGAGGGCAGAGTGTATGCTTGGTGTCCTGTGATTAAAACTGAACAGTTACAGAAATACATGAAAACACACCAATGATTCAGAATGATWTCCAAACCCACCAACAAGGGCACCTTCATCTTGCTTGCCGATCAGTTTTAAGGACAGTGATTTTAATTCTGCCCTCTTGTTTATCTTAGAGAAGCAGAAAGGTTTACTATCCCACGGGATAGACCCACCCAGAGCCCAGCCCTGGAACTTCCCCCTTGTAAGGAGTGATCTTACTTCCCAAGCCAGGTATGGTAACAGTTATATAGCTGAATGATAAGGCTTATGTTGGTRAATGGCAGCTTAAATCCTACTTCAGGCTGCATCTCTGTAAAACCCGCAGTGTCTTTTTTATAAAATAGTGCTMCTTCCTACCAGTGACCTTTGTACTTCCATAACATAAAGRTGAACATCAGGAAACAYGTTTCCRCTGTGAGGGTCRTGAAACACTGGCATAGGTTGCCCAGGGAGGTTGTGGAGTCACCATCCTTGGAAATACTCTAATACAAGGCATGGTCCTGGACAAACAGCTCAAGGAAGCTTTGCTTGTGACCTATGGAAGTCTTTGTCACCCTCAGCAAAACTCTGGTTCTGTGAAACAATCGGGTCAAAACCACCACCTGCTAACGTAMAGTTCAGCTTTCCTTATGGGCAGGCACTGGAGGRAGTCCTCAGTTTGTCTCCCTTCAGAAAAAATCCTGTGTTTATACTGAACTCTCTACATTTCTTTACAAAGCTGTTCCCTAACCTATCATCTTGGTAGTTAGGAACTCTTCTGTGACTGGGAAGACTGGGAATCATGTCCTGAGAATGAGAAAATTAAATCTGTGTTTTCAGTGTCTTGACTGCTGTAGACGTGGAGCTGCTGTAGAACACATGGCATTGCTTAGTGCTACAGTTCTAAGAGYTATCACTTCCACTACTTTTTTTGTAGAGCTGATCTGTAGGTGAAGGTTGCTTCCAGATACAGTGCTTCAAAGATGAATGCTAGAATCTATTTCTGGATCATGGTCAGGCATATAAATACTGAACTGTTAAAAGCTCTGTCAAGACTGAGGCATTTCTGAGTAGGTGCAGAAGGAGAATTTCACATGCCTGAAGTCTTRAGACCAAGCATGCTGCTGACACATTAAGGTGCTCCCAAAGTTAGCACAGCAGAGGGGAGTTGCACCTTTGACTTTTGATGCCTAAACTGTACAAAAACTACAATTTTAGCTGAACCCAAATCATCATTTAGATCTGGCCYGAAGTGGTACTTCTGCTGGAGGTGTCAATGGGAGGGCTTTGTGCCAGGTTTCTTATATTTWGTACTTGATGCAGTGAACTGTGATTTCAAACAAGACACCTTCAAGGAGAGGGAAGCTACATTGATGTGGAGAAGGTTTAAAGCTCTTGTAARCCAAAATGGGAGCTTAAAAGTGTTTGGAGGTCATCTTGATTTTCTGCTGCCTAACTTAACRTAATTGTATGTACCAGAACAGCTGTAGTAATGTGTTGCCTAATTCTGTATCARTGCATTCCTTAAGGAATAAACCTAATGAACCACAGTTCAGAAAAACAAGYAAGATGCTACTGACAAAAAATTAAGACAGATTTTTCCATTAGAAGCTGAAGTTTTATTACAGGATAACAGTACATAAAGCACATCTAAAATCGATGTGTTCAATGCACTTAATAAAGGTAATGTAATATTAAAGGTACAGTTTCTAAGTACAATATAACAACATTCATATTAGAATGAAAATTGGAGTATTTAAAAGACAACATTAAATCTCTTATTTTTACAGTCATATTTACAAAATGAATCAAAATACTTTTTTCGGGACTGAGTAAAATAACAAACTTGAATATAAGCAGGCTATTGTAAGAGTGAGTTGGAAAGGTCCATGGAAGGGAAAAGTGAAGTGACTGGGTAAAGATCATTAGCAAAGGTTTAGTACAATACCACTTTAGTATTCCTCTTGATGGCTTACATTTTATTGTGGCTAGAAAAGGAATTTATACATACTGTACACATAACAGACAGCACATATTTACATGTACAGTATARTTGCATTTAAACTTGTGTGTATTTACAGAAATTTGAGCATATCACTCAACGAGGTTTTTAAGTCTGTGTGCTTAATCTTCAATCTGATGTATATTTGTAATCAGCATTCTGGCGTTGGTATGCTGAACATTTAGTAAAGAGGGAGGATAAATGTTAACCAAATGGTTTTGCATAAATATATCAAACTATTAAAACAATAGGGAGAATGTGTTCCTGGCATTACGTATAGGTTGGTACATACAAATTTAAGAGTGAGTCCATTTAACTTTGAGAATATCAAAAGGTGACTTAAATCAAGAAGGAAAAACAAAATTGTCATGGCTTATATTTAAATAAGATTGTAGCTTCAAGAGGTTTTTATAATTGTCCTGATAGTGTTTGCAGTTAAACATTCCACTTATGAAAATATACCCATGGTGCAGTAAAGTTTGTTTTTGTTTTTAGGTCAACAGTATGTTTGCTGTTTAAAAAAAATTATTTATATATATATATTCCTTGGATTGAGGGTATAAAAGCAGTGCATGGAAGCCAAGAACCATGGCTTTAAAATTCACTACCTTCTATTATCAAAAAGTGCAGTAAACAGAAACATTGTTATTAATAAATTGCTCAAAAATCTTTGCTAAAGATCTTATAAATTCAGTAATATTACAGAAAAATTCTAATAAATATTTAAAAGGTTAATTACCTCCTTAGTTAGATATTTGATATCCATCAGTTTTTAAGAATGAACATAAAAACARTATCTAGAATGAAAGGAACAGGGGACAGGAATACTTTGAAGGGTATATGACTACGTAAATTAAGGTATACATGAAAAAAATAAAAACAAAACCCCCATACCTGACAAAACGCTGCAAATTCCACTTCTTAATTAACTTTAGTTGCTACTGGCTGTCCTTGGATATGTATGCACAGTGTATAAAGCATATCCAGGGACTGAATTAAGCCATCCATCTATCACGGCAGATTTACAGAACATTCCTATTTACAGTAACTGGAGTTAAGTGTGTAGGCATGGCCCAGTAACATCCGCAGTTTGAGTGTGTACAGATCCTAYTTAAAGTGAGGAGGGAGGAAGGCACCCAGCAGAATAACATCTATAAATTTCCAATGMAACAACAGGGTAGAATTCTCCCAACAAGCCAAATAACTACCTCCCTTTCAGACAGACAGCATATTGTAATTGCTTTATACTGGCAGATTAGATGTTTTTCTTATTTTTGATACAATACAGGCAGACTGTTTTAGTAATCAAAGGATAACAAGCTGGACAGAACATTTTTAATAACGTTAATAATTAATAATGTTAATGTAGAAAAAAACTCTACATTTGATATCAAGTATCTGTACCGGTGAAGTAATTTTCTCCTTATTAAATATACTATAGAATAATTTATATAATGACACTATGCATTTAAAGAGAAAACCATGTCCCAAATCTTGTACTCTGATACAGGTACTTGTTGGGCATATGTTGGTGTATATATATATATATACACAAATATATATATTTATATATAGTTATACTCAGTGAAATTAACAAGACCCAAAGGTGGTATTGTCTAGGAATAAAAGGGGTTTGTTTGATTTTGTTCACAAAAGTAACTTATCTAGCACCACACATCAGAAAAACACAAAAATAGCACACTCTAGTTCTAAACAGCTATGTCTAAAATAGATTATATAGTAAAACAGATATTATACAGCATAATGTGGTATTTGATAAACAGATAAATATTTGCACTGTGTAGGCTGTTTATAGTATAATTTTATCTATACAGAACGAAAGCAAAAAGTTAACTGTATAGAGGTGAGCAGAACAACATTAAATATTATGACTCCAAAGCAGAGACAAAGTCAGAGTTGAAAGAATAGAGCAAGATAAAATGTTTACAGGCCATTACAAGTCCTTAAATTAGTAGTAAAATAAGGAATCAGTTGCTCAAGTTTAAGAAAGCAGTAAACAAGAGATTGCATTTACATGCAGATGTCTAAAACTTGTATTTCTTTTAAATCTATGCACAAAAAGTCATTTGTTTTTATTGCTTGACATTCAGTTATGGCTAGAATATTTTTAACCTTTTTTTGTACTTTGGAAACAAGAATATTGTTAAAGGTGCCATAAAAATGGACAACATTGAAAACAGTTTGCAAATAAACCACCTAACACTGCAGTTCTTTATACATTTTAAAAAGCCTTGTCTGGGGTTTGTCATATGTTAAATATATTTAATCTGGGAAAATACATTGTAGCTTGAAGCCTCCCATTGGCCCAAACATCCAATACAAAAACACATCTCCAGAAAAGGAGCAGGCAGACAATACARTTACATATAAAGAAGCAGCCAGTTAATGTCCTAATACTTCAAATATTGACCACTGTTCTGTAACTTGTTTCTAAATCAATGTAGAAATGAGGAACATTTTGGATTTAAAAAGGTGTACAGTACGTATGCCTTTTTGTGAAATAAAATTCACTGTATTGCTTATGAATTCTCTGCATTACATATAGATAGCATTACAAATTGCAAGTTCCTGTAAAGTTTGTGCATCTACATTAAGACTTCGTGGGGTAATTGAGGGTAGTGTTTCTCAAACTGAAAGTCACAACTGGTTGGTTGAACGCTGCCCAAGTGTTTAGATTATGATCAAAACACCTTGCCAGGCACACCCAGCTCGGTTCTTTGTAAAGTGCAGGTTCTCCAGCGCGGAGCACRTGCTTGTGCTGGCTACAGGAGCATGCTGGGCAGGGAACTCAGGGGCTGCAGCTCAGCCCCACGACCTGGAGGAGCTGCAAAAGCCGGCTGGGGGGTGCAGTTTTCATTTGCAGTGGCCAGAGAGTTCCCAGGAACCAGTAGCAGCTTGGTTCCCTCAGTTAGGAAATGCTGCCAGTAATTCCAGCTGATTGACACTCCCTGCCCCAGGAAACCTAAGTTAATTCCAACACAGAAAGCCCTGTGCAGAAATAGAGCCCACAGAGATTGTGCTTTCAGWAACCTTGAGAAACACTAAATAGGAACACAAGTATACATAGGACATATGAACACTGAAGACATGCAGATGTTAACAAAAACKGTGATGTCACACATCAAGTTGAACAACTTGATTGTGAAATTCAGCTTGAAGAAGTAATAAGATAATGAGGGAAGACATACAAGTGAATATRTGGCAGAAGAAGTGAACCTATGAGTATTGA